TCTCTCGAGAATCAGAATTTCTAGGTTATGCTAATAAAATGTATAAGAAAACGATTATTAAAGTGTAATACTAAAAAAGGTAGTTTCTTTTTATGTGTTGTCTTAAACTAAACCATTTTATCTAATTCTTTTTTTCTAAAGATTTGTCATGATTTTTGATAATTTTTTAATTTTAAATACTCGACATATTGAAATGAATTTATTTGTGTACAAATTTGGATAATAGTGACGCAAATCCAAAGAAAAGATAAATGGATTTTGGCGAAAGAAGCATGAACACGACGAAAAAATATACTTCAACAAAGAAGAGTGCAGAACGGTTAGTTTACATAGTTTTTTTTTTCTGAAATCGATTTTAAACATATATATCACTCATTATTATGCGAATGAATATATTTTTTCTGTTTTTAACTTTTATAGGTTCTATGGTAGATGTTGACAGATTGTCATCAATGTCAAAATTTAGATCAACGTTAATAATAAATGTATTGGGAGATGTGACAAATGGTATCTATATATTTCTTTATGATTTAATATATGACTATGCATGGCATATATCAAATCATACAAATGAAATAAATAATATAGCCGAGCGGATTGACATCTTATTTTTTAATTCTTAAAAAACCAATGTTTGTTTCGCACCAAGTGCAATCGTCAATTTGTATATCAAGGACACCGAAGAACAATTATGCAACAACTTCGGCACAATTACAAATGCATAAAAGACGAAGATTCAATGATCTCTCTTCTATATCACGTATCGTTGATTTCACCGAAGGTAGTAATTCTACAATCATATCATTCATTATACTTCTAACATAGTATATTATATTTAGCTATATTTTTAACCATTTACTAAGACCAAAAATTTAATAGAGTTAAAAACAACATGTGTTCGACCCCGTGCGTTGCACGGGTTAAATACTAGTATAATAAAAATTGATATTCGAGTAAAATAAATAAGTCACAATATTTACTTCACTTGTAAAGACCTCAATTTAGAGGAAACCTATATAAGGGGAGGGGAGGGAATGATGACACCAATTTGGAAGAAACCTATACAAGGGGAGGGAATGTGGGAGAAAATTTTAGGTCCCCTCTCCTCAAAACATTAAACCGAACCAAACAAATCCAATTCCATTATTTGAATTCTGTGTACCAAACGGGACCTAAAGGAATTCATTTTTCCTCACCTCCATACCCTCTCCCGAACCAAACAAATCCTAAAGTCAAAATCTACAAACTTTGATTAAAAAAAAAAAGACAAATGCAAACAAAATTCCCCCGGAAAGAGAGTATGACGTTACACTGGATATGAAGCAAATGTGACTCTACATTTTATATGATGAGATCCTTTTAATTATCACTGCAAGAAACACATTTAAGCCTGGCAAATGTTAAGTATCCGGTATGCCCTCGTGACTCGCTCGAAGGCCTCACCATCACAGTACCATCGCCGCCTGCATCAAAGCCACACTTTCTCTTCTTTGAATGTTCCTCGACAGACCCTCCTCCATTGCTTCCACTGCCATCCTGCCCCTCCATGTTTCTCTTCCTAACTTCATATGTGCGAAGAAGCACCTCAAATGTTCTTATATCTACACATACGCATAGAAGACCAAATACCACTGAATCATACATACATTTCTAATCTATACTAATGCCAAGAACGACCAAAGTTACCAGTAAAATAATGTGATGCGAGTGCTTCAGATGAGCGTTGGACTTGCTCAATGCATGGAGAAAAGGAGCACAAGATTCCATCGCCTCTCAACATTTTTCCAGCCGAAGGTATGGCCATCCATGGCTGAGGGAGGTCAAGAAAGACAGAATCTGCCCTACCGGTGAATTCTTCAGGGAACCCTTCACCTTGAATGTCTCTCACTCCAACTTTGACTAGCTCGCTTATCCCCGTCCTCTCAAAATCATCCCTTCATGAAAAGTGTTGAACTCGGCCAATTAACACCACATGAACTAAAAGTCTATGACAATACTATTGCGACATATCTTTAAAACGATATGCGCTTTAGGCTAGCTAGAGGCCTGCCATAGAAAAATGTTTTCTACTGGCTACCACCAATGAAAATAGTCAAACTACCAACTTCTTCAACAATGCAACCAATGATGGAGACACACACGAGTATGGACGGGTGTTGGGGCCAGGTTGAGAAAAGTGATATTCGTAGACAAACTTTTTTTAGCTTACTTTACACATGAAGGCCCCGGGTGTGCTACTTCTTAGATCTCAATGTATGCTGTTCATTTTCAATAGGCACGGGGATTCAAAAAGTAAAATTTGAATGGATAATTTATGCAAATGGAAGTTAAATACTCCATAGTATTGAACCATACAATGCCATCTACAATGGAAATGAAAAAGAAGAAGGAATATAACAGATCTATAGGGACAAATTATAAACAAGATAAGAAGTATATGCCCATTGCCAAGCTTCCTCTCAAAATAAGACCCCTTCTTGCCATGTATTCGCTATTACAGTTCAATTTTTTAGTAAAATATCTCCCTCCACAAACACTTTGCTCAAAATTTGGACTAGAATCTTACAAGTATAAACAAGACAAGAAGTATATGCCCATTGCCAATATTCCTAAAAAAAGCAAAATCAATAATGATTAAAGAAGAAGAAGAAGAAGAAGCATACCTAGCAGAGGCAGCCCTCTGTTGGTGAAAATCAAATGTGTAAACATGTCCAGTGGGAGCAACAGCCCTGGCAAAAGAAGTGGTCAATGAACCGCTACCGGTTCCGGATTCAAGAACCACGCAGCCAGGAACTATCTCCAGGCACATTATCACGAAGCTGATATCGGCAATGTACAGAATCTGAGTGCGGTGGCTCAGAACCAGCGTCCACAGCTCCGGCGTCGGGGCCAGCAGGTAGACAAAGCCGCCTTTGTGTCCATATACTTTGGATCCGAACGATTTTCCGATCCAATCGGAATGCTTGAACGCGCCGAAACGATTCTGGAGCACCTCGTGCTCGGAAACCTTCACGGCTTTCATGGCGTCGTGCTTTTCGTAGACGATGACCAGATCTCCATCTTTGATTTGGCGATTGAGCGACAATCTGTTGTCCGGGTGAAGTTGAAGCACCATATCTATCTGGTTAGGGTTGGGTATGCCGGCAGAGGCGGCAATTCACCGAACGCTTTTTTAGTACTTTAACTCAACTCTGCGATGGAGGGAAAGAAAAAGGCTGGACAAAGACGATTACGATTACGGGCTTTCCGGCTTGAATTAAACTCCGTATAATGTCTTATTATTGCGTATTTATTCTACAAGCTATAAGATTTTGTAAAAACATACACCCTATTTCTTATTGTCAAATTTTAATTATTTTTTATTTTCATTAATTATTTGATAACACAATGTAGTCTTTTACTCTCTTATTTTGCAGGAACTTTTGATGTAATTTTTAAAAATATAAATTTTATTGATTAATTTTACACCTATATTCAATAAATTGAATTGAAAATAGAATCAGTCAAACTTGTAAAACGAAATGAGAAGAACATTTTAGAATGAAAAAAGTAACTAAAATAAGAGCAAAACATAATCTTTATACTCAACATAGGAATGACGTATTTTTATTTTTCGAATAAGACTATTACATCATGACAATGTAAACCTGTATATTGACATTACAAAGTTTTTTTATTGGCGTTAAAATTATTGACCTTATAAGTTATATTCTAAGATAAAAACATGAATGTCATTTTTTAATTCTTCCAAACATTATTTTAAAGAAATGTTTGTATGACATGCATTTGTTCTCTTTTCTCTATACAAATCATAATTATACACATATTTCTTTATAAAAATTATGTCAAAACAAATTCGGGAGATAATTACGGAACAAAAGGAGAACATATCTTTTTTTAATGTTATAGGAGCACCATTTTTTTAAATAAACTAAATCACCATGGAATGTCTGCTACTACTACTTCATCAGCTTGAGGACATCATCGTTGGTTTAGTTCAATAACTCATATAGTATGTGTGATGTTTGATAATTCTCTTAAACGTAAAACATAAATTATGTCTCCCTCGAACATTGGCGAGTGACATTTTACCACATTAGCTCACTTTTTTAGGAAATAAATATGTGGATATTTTTTTCTCTTTATTTCAAATAAATTTCAACAACATATTTTAATCTCTATTTTTTCTTAACTAGTATTCTGACCCGTGCCATGCACGGGGTCGAAAGAAATTTATGTCGATTCTGAATTATTTAAATGATTTTTTTTTTCGGAATAAAGAAAAATATATTGCTCACATGATTTTTAATACTACAAATGAAAAAGGCCAAAGTAAAATAAATAATATTTTAGGAATATAATGTAGAGTTAACAATGTTTATTTTAATACCAAATTTTCTGAAAGACTTCAGGGTATACAACATTTTTGGTATGGTTGCAATGGTTTCCATTGTCATCTAGAACTAATATTTTTAATCTTGTCTTCGTCTTCACTCGTGAAACAGCAACATATAGTTGACCATGTGTGAACACTGACTTGGTTAAAACTAATCCCACAAATGACAATGTTTGACCTTGACTTTTGTTGATAGTCATAGCAAAACATAAGGCGGTCGAGAATTGTTTTTTCTTTGGAACTTCAAGGGTAGCCCTGGATCAGATGGTACCAAATTCATTCTATGGATGTAAACTTTTTCCGCGACTCGATTTTCTGAAACCACAATTGCACCGGCAAAATTATTTCGCAACTCTTGAACGATTAATCTTGTCTCATCACACAATCCAGATGTTTGGTTAATGTTCCTCAATAGCATAATCGGTTCCCCTGTTTTCAAGACTATTTTGTGGTTTGGGAATCCCGAACATTTGATTTTGTTCAAAAACTCAACTGTTATCCAATCGCCATCAACACCTACATCTGCTTCTGCTTGGCACGAAGAATCAGAACCCAAGTACTCCTTCTCATCACCAGGAATGAGGGACAGAACAAATTCATTTATCATTTCAACTATTTCAAGAGTTGGTGCCAATATTGCTCTATACTCAAAAAAA